AGGATGTTATTGAATATTTTTATTATTAATGCTCGAGATCAAAGCGACGAGCCAATGAAAATTATTCCACCACAGAAAGGGTGACCATAAAATATGTGAGTTTGTATTTTTCCTTTACGGATGTTATCTATAGACGCAAGGAGGATAGCTGCCCTCTATACTTTATTGATATAAAAAAAACTTCGAAGTATATAATAGTAGGCTGGCCTTCTAGACTTAGCCTATAGGCTAGAGATGACCGTGGTTTTGTTGTTTGTATTGGAAGAAATCCTACTGTAATATAAATGCGAATGCGATAGATGAATGGATGGTTGTTACAGTTTGTACCATAAACGGCTAAACGGATATGGGTGAAATTTGAGATTGATCTCTAGATCTAGCATAGTCTAGAAGAACAGATAGGCTACTTGCTTTTGTTTTTTTAATACGGCGCGGGCAAGAGCTAGTTTATAATAAATCAAAATGAAAACCCTCTAAATAAAGCTACTTTTCAAGATGCCTTTTTTAAAAAGATTGATCCTTGATGCAACTTTCAGTCTACAAACCCAGGCTCTGAAAAGCAAACTGGTACTCTTTCCGAACAAGTGGCATAGGTTTTTGAGCCATGATATTTGTATCAAGCATCGCTTTTCTTGGATCTTAAGCCACTTAAAAGCAAAACCAGTGAATTAAAAACAAATATTATATTAGAACTTGTATTGTTAAAAGTATGTAAAAAAACAGAATTTTATTTTTTGGACGATATTAATTGTGTTAAAATTAAGTTAAATATGGAATATCCGATAAAACGTAATATCATGGTGCCCCTAGTGACGCGTTTGATGTTAACTTCTCAACAACTATGTTATAAACGAAATCTAATATGGCAGAGATATGAACAGTTTTTTGTTTTCATTTTCAAAAGTATTGTAAAATTGTTTAATAAAGGCATTCCAATTAAATTATTCAAGTGTTTTGATTTTAAGCATTTATCTTTTTTGACTTCGTTAACGGAGAAATAAAAAAATCTACCATATTTACTCGCACATAGACCTACAAATATCATGTCGGTTGTCATAGATGAAGTCTGGAAAAATGCATATTCTACCACTTTTTTATTTCCAAGACGGTGCCGCGGGCGAGAGTTAGTCTATACTAATATTAAAAAGAGGAAAGATGTATTTTTGTATGTATTGAAATAACTCAAAAACTACTGGGACGATTTTAATATTCTTTCACTGGATATTTTCTATTATTTTTTTTAATATCACGGACGGAGTCGCGTGCTAAAGTTAATAAAACAACATTTTGTATTTACAATATTTATTAGGGCAATATACATATGGTGAAATAATTAATTTTTAAATAAGATATATGGCTTAGCAAATAAGCATTTTGTATGACGCATTATTTTGTTACTAACAAATGAGTTATCATGAAGCTTTTTTTATTCAACCTTACTTAATTATTCTTATTAACTTACAAGTTACAGATTTTAAGGCTTTTGAGGATTGCATTTTAATACTTATTGAATTGGGATGCATTTAAGAAAAACTAGTACACTATTCTATTTTTTTAATTTAATTTACCATTTTTAATAGTATATGGAAACTGCTTATACGTAACTAAGATATCTAAGAACTTTTATAATATATTAAGTAATAAAGCCTTACATCTTGTCTTTTATATATTTTTTAATTATTATTATTCACCTATAGTATAGATTTAATAATTTATGTTGCCATGATATTGCAAATATTTCACAATTTGCAACATATTTTATAAAAAAAACCTTTTTCCTTTGATGGCTCCCACGTAGACTACCGTAAGTCGCAATTGTGAAATTTTATCTTGATTTTTATAAATTACCTTTATAAATACTGGTTAATTCTCGTCAAGATTATTTAGTTTAAACTAGTTTGAGTTAATTTGGTTAGAATTGAATTAAATGCCATTTCATTTATTATAGACTCTATCGTATATTCATGCACGAAAGTTTAGTCTTTAAAAAAAAAATTTTAGACATACGTAAGTTTACGTGTGAGCCATCAATTGTCACAAGTAAAAAAATTCAAACAGATTGGATAGCAAAAAATATCAGATATTTTTTTTTATTAATATATTTACCCCCCCCCTCACCCCGTAATAAAAAAAAATGTAAAATTTAATAACGCATCACCTTCTCTACACTATTTTAATATTTTTCTAGTGTAGAGGGGAGCATTTTATATTTTTTATTCGATTTTAAATTACTCATAACTATAAATTTAAGAAAAAACGCACTCAGAATCGTTAATCAATACCTCCACTACATACATTTTAACTGAACTTTTCAGTTAAAAATATATGCGTAGATATTTTAACTGACAAACTGAAGAGTTGTTCTGGTTTTTTTATAAGTTGGCAAACTCGCAAGCGGCCTGAATCCAACGAAATGTAAAGACCGCTGCACATAGACATCCGCAATTGCAGCGCTGCCTACCCTTCATTGACGGAGACGCACATAAAGAGGACATTTCCCCTTCTTATGCGTCTCCACAGTCAAATCCACTTCCCCTTCCCATCCTCTTTTAAGAAAAGGGTGGTAAAGAGAAAGGGACTTAAATTGGGCCTCCGGCACCACACTCATCAGACGAAACACGGAATTACTTCCATTTGACGGCTGTCTTCTGTGTGGTCGTGGTATTACTGGGGGCGTGCCTGAAGTGCTAACATGTTAAAGCGGACACTACCACTGTTATAATAAGCTTAAGGAACTTCCTTAGTGACTTTAATTTTCTTTAATAGTTTAAATAAACTATTAAAGAAACATGACGTAATACAAAAGGATAAATTTTATTACAAAGTATGAAAAATAGGTGGCTTTTTTAAAGTCTCTTTCCCCTTTTCACCCTTTTAAGAGGAAAGGATGGGAACGAAAAGTGTATTTGACTGTGGAGACGCATAGGAAGGGGAAATGTCTTTTTGTGGGTCTCCTCCGTCAATGAAGGGTAGGCAGCGCTGCAATTGCAGATGTTTATGTGCAGCGGTCGCTTCACCATTTTAGCGAATTCAGGTAGCCGCTTGCGAGTTTGCCATCTTATATTATAAAAAAAAAGAAATTAAATAAAACAAACTTAGATAATAGAATTAAAAAAAATTTACAGCTTTAAAAACTCGACTTTAAAACAATAACAATAGAGTTCAATTTCATATCTATACTAATATGTTAGAAAAGATTTTTATTTTTATATGTATTGAAAAAACTCAAAAACTACTGGGACAATTTTAAAAATTCTTACATCATTAGAAAGGTAATTTATCAGTGAATAACATAGGCTATATTTTTTAATCTAACGCGATCAAAGTCGCGAGCCACAGTTAGTTTTTAATATATTCAAAGTACACTAAGCAGCACATCCTTCTAACTTCATGTTTAATTCAATTTTAACATCTTCTGATTGTAATTCTGTCACCAATTCACGTAACCTGAAAAAAAAAACAAAAAAAACTTAATAAATTTAATAATTAAAAAAACTAAACTAGTTACTTAATTAAACTCAACGACAAAAAAAATAGAAAAGAAAAAAACTTATAGCGTGTGAGATTCGAACTCGGTTTTTTAGTGAAACAAAAAAACTAACTGTTGCTTGCGACTTCGACCGCGTGAATTATTTTTTTTTAATTCGTCGGAAAAATGTTTTCAACAAATAGCCTATATTACTCACTGATGACCTTCTATCGGTTAAAGAATTATTAAAATTTGCCCAGTAGTTTTTTAGTTATTTCAATACATACAAAAATACAAATCTTTCCTCTTTATAATATTAGTATATATTTAAATTCTTATGGGAATATATTAATTACGTTGGGAATCACAGAAATAGATGTACATATACTAATATTATAAAGAGGAAATTAATACTTCTCTATGTATTGAAATAACTCAAAAACTACTGGGTCAATTTAAAAAATTCTTTCACCATTACAAAGCTACGTTATCACTGAGTGACATAGGCTATATTTCACGTACAAAGTCGCGAGCAACAGCTAGTAAATAAATAAAATGTCATACTAACTCAGCGAGCTGTGTCGGCGTCACATACACGGTGTCGGCTGTGAAGTTATCTGAAGCTGGGAACTTGAGAGTACCAACATCTACCGTTTTTGGATTCATAGCCTGTGCGATAAAATAATAAAACAAGTAAATATGTATAGAAATCTAGTTGCATTTTGAACTACTCTTCCTATTTAAGGCGCCTCACTTTTTCCTACTTGAGGAGCCTCACTTTTTACTACTTAAGGAGCCTTACTTTTTACTACTTGAGGAGCCTCACTTTTTACTACTTAAGGAGCCTTACTTTTTACTACTTAAGGAGCCTTACTTTTTACTACTTAAGGAGCCTTACTTTTTACTACTTGAGGAGTCTAACTTTTTCCTATTAGTGGCACCTCAGCTATCAAGTCAAATGGGTTATAGACAGTTTCGTATTTCTTATTTACGGTTTTAGAGTCAAGAGAACGTAACATAAATTAACACCACACGAAAAAATCCAAGACACTAAGAGTCGATGGTACAAGATCTCAACATGGACTAAACAGGGCTAGGACTAGTTCTCACATTACTAAGACTTCAGAATATATCCTATTTTGAGTTCCTTACAGTCTCATAATTTTCAAAGTATCTCAATATTGAGCATTCTGGTTTTGAGCAATATGGTTGTAACTTACCGCTGCGAGTTCCGTGGTTGGGAACTCCGCAAAGTCCGCCTCAACGCAGCGCCACGGCCGGTACAGTAGCAGAAGATTGCGAGCCTCCAGTTGTAGAGACGCCAGACGCTCCTAAACGTATACGAGGAATTTAATTACCAACCCAACTAAACACATCTTTAAGGTATAAATAATAAATCGTATTGAAATAAATAATGACTGAAAAGAACGCACTTATGTATATTGTTGGTATTTATAAGAAATATAACCAAGCAGACTTGGTTATATTTCTTATAAATACCAACTAACTTACAGTTATAAGTAAAGTATTTTTATAGATCACATTTGATGCCTGAATTTTTTACTTCAGTGATAGAATCGATATGCACTCCAAACGTATAAGAATCGAATCAAGATAAGAAAAATCGATATTTTTGATTCGGCTTTTTTAAAATACTTAGCGTTTAAAAGTCTTTACTGTCGACTTTCAATTAATATTATTGTATAATTTGAAAAAAAAAAGTACAGTTCTAACTATAACTTTTTAATTTACGTTGTAGAATTTTAATGAAGTGTCAAATGTGACTTTAAAAATAACCTTTTATCACACTCAGGAGTGGCTTGTTGTATAATTAACAAACAAATCAACAAACACTCTAAAAAAACTACATAAACGAGATTTTTAAAAATATTAAACACAAAAGGTATCCACAAAAGTACCAGGAGTACATAAAATACGTGGAAAAAAGTGAATTTAGTTAAACTAACCTCAAGTTGTCGTCTAATTTCACGTTGTTTCTCTTTGTGTTGTTGAACCACTTTTGGGTAATCGGCCATCTTCTCCGGTAACTTAATCAGACCCGAACGAGCGATGGATAGAGTCCATTCCTGTTACGAATATAAATGTTAAATATAAATCTTTTTTATATTATAAATATTAAAGTTAGGATGGATGGATGTTTGTTACTAAGTTATTTGAAAACTGATCTCGTTAAAATTTGTCATAGACGTAGAGGATAGTCTGGAAGAACACATATGCTGGGCTTTTTTTTACTTATTGTAAAGAAAAACACTTTCACAAACTACACTCACCATCTAAAATCCGCACACTCACAACCTGCACACTCACCACATACAACCTGTACACTCAACTACAACCCATACATTCACCATCTAAATACAACTCGTACACTTACCATATACAGCGATACACTCAACTGCAACTTATATACTTACTATCTATAACTTACTAGCTGTTCCCGTGCGACTTCATTCGCATAAAATTATGAAAATTTTATTTTGTTGTTTATATGTGTCAAATCATCAATTGCAAATGTCAAAATGACATGACATTATGACAAACCATGGCAATCTTTCTTCCTTGATTGTTGGCAGCAACTTATGGTCTCCCATATTAGGGTTTTTATCAAAAATATTTACCCCCTAAGTTTAATAGCGTGAAAATATCTAGCCTAAAGCGTGACGTAAGTGTATGGCTTATTATTAAAAAAAGAGGTATTCAAAAATATGCTGTAATTGCTAATATGTTAGGCAATAAAGTGTGTTTACGCTTTATTATAATAGTATAGTAAGTATAGAATATAGATAAAGTCACTATCAACACATGCTCACCATCTCATCCTATACACTCACCAATTACAACCT